TAAACAACACAGTTGCGGGGACTAAAGATATAGATGTGCTGCGACACTTTCTGCAGACAAACAACCGAAAGACGAAATCGATTCGAAACGAACGTACGGCATCTAGACTACACAAGTTGTACACCATCGGTGACATAAGGGCCGTTTTAAACTGACCGACTTTTTGTCAAAATCTTTGAAAGTGTCAAAAAAATGGAACCTGTATGTAGGCGTTTGTCCATTTTTTTCAAGAATATTTGGAACGAAGTTGGGCGCGAAAACTTTGCTTCACTTCGTTCCAACTTTTTGACAACCCTCTCAAAGTATTTGGAGCACTTTCCAAAGTACCCTTGCAGAGGCACGCGAGGGCTGCTGCGTCTGCACCACGAGTGCCCCTCACCGTAGAAAGTCAGCTAGGGTTGTGTGTGAGTCATGGCCGACCGTAGAAAGCGCGGCGCGCCTACAGATTCGAGCGGCTCTCCTCGCCCACGGGCAAGCGCAATACAAAAAAAAAAAACGGCGGTCCGCCATGATGGCTTGCAGTTGTTGCTTCGCGTCCGCCGCTTTGTTTTTTCCTTTTCCCGGGGGGGTAGGAGCAGTGGTTGCCACCCCTCGCCGGCGGCCTGCTCCACCCTCGCTCTGAGTGTTGGTGGCGGCAGCGCCTCCCGTGGTAACATGAGTGTTCCCCGAGATGCCAGGCAGCAGCACTATCTTGCTGGAGAGCAAGCCTCCACCGCCTACGGCGGCACCGAGAGAGCCCGTCTGGTGGAATTTCGCCGGGGTTTTGGTCTGCCGGCCACGCTGGGTGGTCGTGATATCCATGTCGGTGTCCATGATGTCGTGTTTTCCACGGTTTGTGTTGTGTCGTGTGTGTTGTCTCGAAGTGAGCGCTACAACTCACGGACGGCGTCATTTTTTTTTACACAAGTTGCACAAGTCTACGTCACACGTTTAAAATAACTGCACACAGGTTCCAAGTTTTTGAAAGACAAATGTCGAAAATTTTGACAAAAAAGTCGGTCCGTTTAAAACGGCCCTAAGTCACCACACACCCTGTTTTTCGGCTCGAGATCTTCAACGATGAACAGTACGCGTAAACCCAACGAGTCCTTTTCGAAAAGCTGCCGACGACACCTAACCCACACCACCACTATCGGCGCCACCACTGTCGTTGTGGTGTGGAGCAATCGAGCGTTGTTAGTTGGTCAAGGGTGTGGTGTCTTGTGTCATCTACGGTATGTAGAGTACTACAGCAGTAGTCCGCAGGTAAAGGTAGGTACACCGTGTTGAACCGTGAAACGCGGAAGAAACAAATACGACTGGACCATTTCCTTAGCCCGCTTGCTGCACGACTGAGAGGATGCTCAAAGACATGTAACGTTTGCGGAAACCTCTCGACGAGACGGTCTCATCGGTGCCGCCCCGGCGCCGCGTCTATGCCTAGTCTTTCGTACCTGGGCTGAGGGGTGTCATCATGCAAGGGTACTACTGCCCACTTGACCCGCAAGTTACGTGGCCGCCAAGCTGTTCCTTCGCACGTTTATCCAACAGGTGCCAGCCTTCGACAGGTACTCGACAGGTACTTACTGTACAACTTATTCGTCAACACTAAGTGGTATGCCCTTGTTGTCTTTGTAGAGACTGTGGTGCTTGATGTTTAGATGCTTGTTATCTCTCACACCCGGTTGGGCGGAAAGAGCAGGGAGTGCCACGCGCACGACAGCTGACAACAGCTGGCGTGGGGGCTCCGCAAAATCATTCTCTGGTCGCACTACCTCAAGGATACCTATGTGCAGGGTACCTGGAACGGTCATCTCGTCTACAGATCCGACTACGCACGCACTCACACGAACACCCTCCCTGGTTCTTTACGCAAAAGTAACTAACCACTTCCGCTACCTCAAGTCAGGTTTTTTCTGCAAAAACAACAATCAAAGAAAACCTAAGGGGAAACCCGGCCACCGGGTCAAAACCCCTCCCTCCTAAGGACAGTACTCCGAAAACGCAAGATTAAGACGCAAACAGGACAACTCCGACAATGTAATCGATCCGGGTAACCTTCCCGCCGGGTTCAATATCACCTTCCTAGTACCCAACAAAGCCCAAAAAGTCTGCAGCCACTGCCCTCATCAGTTTACTCCGACAAAGTCCAAAACAAAAGTCTGTTGCAATTTTTCTCCTACTGTCCTCCCCGCTCGACGAACAACTATTGATGATCTGAGCACCTAACTTCCTCCCTTTCCCTTGATTCCGGCGCTTCGCGGCGCCCCCGGGGTTGGTGGTGTATGCTATCATCCTGGGACAGCTGTTTTGACAAGCATGATAAGCCTTCTTGCATACAACTCTTACTCCGACTCTCAGAAATTCAAACTTCAGCCTGCTTAAACACAACTCTTCGACTCTCAGAAAGAACAAAGTTCCAATTCTCATCCGCCATATAGCACGTGTCGATATGGCTGCTCTCCCTCACTCGAACAGAACTGCGGACCATCATGTCGTACGATAACCTCTCTCGCTCTTTGCTGCGAGTGGTACGCCACACACAATACCTCCTTCATTCAACGCTCGCGGAAAACACGCCTGACTATCTACTGCATCGAGGACTTATCACTACCGAGGTTTCCTGTCCTCCTACAAGACAAACACAGTGATTCTCATCATAGGGCTTATCCCCTTCTACAAGACAAACACTGATATAGATTGTGGAGACGCCTTGCTACTGCAAATCCCTCAATCAGGTGGATACGTCTGGTACATGGGTCCACACCTACCTGCAGCAACAACGGAGATGTCACCTACAGCAGTATAACAGTGTCCTCCCCTCCCCGTTTCCACCTCACGCACACAAGGTGATACATCTGGTACATGGGTCCACACCTACCTGCAGCAACAACGGAGATGTCACCTACAGCAGTATAACAGTGTCCTCCCCTCCCCGTTTCCACCTCACGCACACAAGGTGATACATCTGGTACATGGGTCCACACCTACCTGCAGCAACAACGGAGATGTCACCTACAGCAGTATAACAGTGTCCTCCCCTCCCCGTTTCCACCTCACGCACACAAGGTGATACATCTGGTACATGGGTCCACACCTATCTGCAGCAACAACGGAAATGTCACCTACAACTGTGTCCTCCACTCCCCATTTCCGCCTCATGTTGACGCCAGCACAATTTCGCCTGCGCCGGTGTCTGCAACTTTTGATACACCGGGTCCTTTGTACCCCCATTTTCTCAGCCGACACGCTGGATACTGTTTTACCCCTGTGCGTGAGTTTTCATCGGCCGCGGGGAGCGCCTGTGCTGCATCCCCTCATTTGGTACGCCTGGTCTCGCGTACCCCTTCTCTTCAGCCGACACGCTAGATACTGTTTTACCTCTGAGCGTGAGTTTTCATCGGCTGCCGGGAGCGCCTGTGCTGCATCCCCTCATCTGATACACCTGGTTCTGTGTACCCCGTCTGTTCAACCGACACGCTAGATACTGGTTTACCTCTGTGCATGAATTTCCATCGGTTGTGGGGAGCGCCTATGCTGCATCCCCTCCTTTGATACGCCTGGTCCCGCGTACCCCTTTTTTTCTGCCCCAGACAAAGTTTTCATCGCCCGCGGACATCATGAATTGGAAGCGCCTGTACCGCGAATCCCCATCATAGAGTGCCTGGTTTTTGGAGCCGAATTACCATCGTCCTACGAAACACCCGCGATGACACGCCTGGACTTTACCATCGAAAAAGACGAACTACAATTGCTCAACAAAACACCCACACTCAAGAATGGAAACGCGTGGACCGCGAATCCCCTGTAGAAACTTTCAGTATCATTCGTCACAAGCAAAATCATTCAACATCACTCGCGAATCTCAACCAGAAAGAAGCGTCCCGCGGCAACGCCGCGTTGCTGTTTGTTGGCCCTCGTTCAAAAGCACAGCAGATTTCGCGGTCTCGTCTTTGCCCCTCTGCGGCAATTCCACGTTCACCAGAATCGCCATGACTGCAATCCTCCAGTTCTCCCGGAACGAGTACTTTTCCCGCGATCAACAGGCTCGTGTGCTGTGCTGCCCGCTACTCCACCGCCAACGCCGACGCACCTCTGCTGCCTTGTCATTGGGCCGGTCCCAACAGGTCGCTCATGTGTGTGGCCCCGAAGGATTATCCTCCAGGCTCAACCTCCTGACACCTCGTCCCGTGTGCCCGGGGCAGTCAAGCTACCCCCGGCAGTGCCTCTTCTAGAGCTGCCAACCGTGCAGAGAAAGTTGATGGTCTGAAACCCACCAAACCCACCATTTGCAGGGACGTCAAGCACCCTCACCGGTTCTNTTCCACGTTCACCAGAATCGCCATGACTGCAATCCTCCAGTTCTCCCGGAACGAGTACTTTTCCCGCGATCAACAGGCTCGTGTGCTGTGCTGCCCGCTACTCCACCGCCAACGCCGACGCACCTCTGCTGCCTTGTCATTGGGCCGGTCCCAACAGGTCGCTCATGTGTGTGGCCCCGAAGGATTATCCTCCAGGCTCAACCTCCTGACACCTCGTCCCGTGTGCCCGGGGCAGTCAAGCTACCCCCGGCAGTGCCTCTTCTAGAGCTGCCAACCGTGCAGAGAAAGTTGATGGTCTGAAACCCACCAAACCCACCATTTGCAGGGACGTCAAGCACCCTCACCGGTTCTCCTTCCGTGCCCGATCTACTGCTGCTCTCTCTTCCAGCGGCGTCATCTGTTCTAACGCCAACCGCAGCGTGCAGCTCTGATAGGCAGCTGCCTAGCGGCGAGATTGCGACAATCCCACCGCAGGATGCGGCGCGTCTTCCAGCACCGCCTGGCCCCCCTAGGCATTGCCTGCAGCAGCGATGATATCTTGTCCATCACCCCCTGCATCCAAACTCCCTGCGCATTGCTTCCCAGCGGGGGACCAGCGGATGGGTGGCCCAGGGGACCTACTCCCCCGACTCCACAGGGTGGCAACCCAAACCGTGTGCCCGGCGCGGCTCCTCCGCGCCATGCGGCGTTGCCGGCGCANCAATCCCACCGCAGGATGCGGCGCGTCTTCCAGCACCGCCTGGCCCCCCTAGGCATTGCCTGCAGCAGCGATGATATCTTGTCCATCACCCCCTGCATCCAAACTCCCTGCGCATTGCTTCCCAGCGGGGGACCAGCGGATGGGTGGCCCAGGGGACCTACTCCCCCGACTCCACAGGGTGGCAACCCAAACCGTGTGCCCGGCGCGGCTCCTCCGCGCCATGCGGCGTTGCCGGCGCAGCTTGACTCCCCCTCTTCTGCCCCCGCCGCCCTGGCAGGCGGCATCTGAAGTTTCCCTAGCTTCTTCTGCATGACAGTCGACAGTACCTTGCTTTGCTTCTCCAGCATCGTGGACAGCTCCGTCACGCGCGTGTCGATCGTGGTTCCGCCGCGTTCGCTCGCTGGGGTGTCGCCAGGCATAGACGCTACAAAGGGGCTCCTTCAAAGGAAACTCAAGAGTATGCGTCAACCCTAAGTGGTATTATGCCCTTGTTGTCTTTGTAGAGACTGTAGTGCTTGATGTTTAGATGCTTAACAAGGTTGCGAGAAAAATGGGAACTAATTTTGAAATGGGAATGAACACCACCCCCGTCTTGTGTTCACCCTTTGGATTTAGTTATGATCGAATGCGCTTTCGGGGGGTAACCGCGGGCAGAAATAGTTCATACAGGCGTTGGTGAGCACGCCATATACCTGTTGTTGCCATGGCGAAAAACATCACGGGAGACAGACGGAACGTGTTTTCAGGAGGAAAGTAGAAGGAAGTATAGCTTCGGTGATAATCCGGGAGAGGGTGTGATATGAAACGTTGAGAGATTCAATGCCATATCATAACTTTGAGGTGTTTCCGGAGCATTTTCGGCGGTAGAGATGCAGGGTGCATAAAACATACATAGTGGAGNTCGGAATCACTTTCCTCGAGAGAGGAGGTGGGTACGCTCTCTTCAACCGCGTCCCACACCGCACTTGGCAGCTTCCCACTCTGCAGCAAGGAAGGGAAAGTGAAACATACAGCTTTCACCGACTCCGTGCCCTGATCCGCTGTGAGTTTATTGCCCTCCTTCAAGAACTCTTGCGACCATACGCCCCTCCCGTACTTCGACCGACGGCATTTCTTGCGAGAAGCAGGCGAAAACCAAGTGACGGTTAACTCACCCCCGTTTCCCGCGCTCAAGTCCACACTAACTATTTTGCCAACAACCAGCGGGCACGGATTCGACAACTCCAAAGGGAAAACGGCAAACCACCCAGGCTGCAAGTGCAAGCCGCTTCCGGGGCCACCCCCCCCACCCCCGACCAGTGACCCATCCGGCAAGGCTTGTGGTGACACGGTGTCCAAAGCTCCATTGTCACCGTTGCCGTTGCCTTCCGAGCTGTCATCGTCCGAGCTGTCGTCGTCCGAGCTGTCGTCCAGTCCTGCTGCTGTAGTCAAGCTCGGAAGGTCCCAGTCCTTGGTCCCCCTTTCACGCAGCAGCTGAACAGAGAGGTTCATCCCGCGAATGGACTCGTTTCGTTTCGCAGGATCTGTATCGACAGAACGAAGGACATCCGCACGAGTAGGGATAGGGTTTAAGTGTGTGCATGAACGGTTCACGACGGGGGATAAGAAGGGCAAACGGAACAACATTCATCGTGGCCAATTAGGCAAGACCGTTCTTTGAGCTGCGTGCACCCTATCACTCTCGCCCAGGTATGAAAATTAGAAACACTTCTGAATTTGGTTGGCGAGATCGATTGTGCTCTACACCCCCGGCAAAATCGAGAAGATAGGAAAACCTTGGTTGGGTGTTTTGTCGTAACTTGTAAACACAGAGTACATAGAGTACAGACCGACGACAGAAATCCTATGCACGTGAAAGAACATCAACAACTTAGGTTTTCAATTTCTGAAGGGGAGTAGAACAATAACGACTGGATCCGCCAAAAAAAGTCACTTCGGCTTACTACAATAAAGCGTGGGCTCAGGGAAGACCACGACATACATGAGGTTGCACACCCAAGTTTTCCCAACCTACGATTCCAACAGCACAAGGTCTCACCGTCGGGATACAAGGCCTCCAACCTCGGGTGCACAAAGTCGTAGCGTTGCTGTATTTTGTCGAGGGTAGCCTTGTCGATGTCCTTCAGCTGGAAAGGGGGGGCCGACCACCCTTGTAACCGAGCAAGAGAAACTCCGTCGTCGGGCGCGTGGAACCCTTGGGCGTGACATGTTTCCAGTACCTGGGGAGCGTTAGATGAGGGCACCTCTGCTTCTTGGCGCGCTTCGTGGTAGTTTTCACGACGGCCTTGTTGACGGCCGCCGCCTCCGGGCTTTCGACCGGCGGCGGCGACGGTCCGTCGTTATCGTCGCCGTGCATCGCATCGGCGACCGAGGTTGCACCGGCCTCGCCCGCGGCTTTCAACGGCCTGGGTTCGGGTGCGGGGTAGGTGGCGACATCACAGATCTGGTACACCGAGTGGAACTTGAAACCCTGAAGCTTTTACAGCTCCACGGAAGACTTGATGCTGTAGGTGTCGGCCCACATGTACATCAGGGCTTCGTCTTTGGTGAGAGATGGAAGATCGATCTTTCCCATCTGTTCCACGGTCAGTTTGTTCCACGGGGTGTTGAGGTATAGCGCGTCATACTTGGTGTCTTCGGTGGCTTTGAGCTGCGCGACGGCGGAGATGAAGTTGTCCATTGTTGACGACAGGAGTATTTGTTATTAACTTCGTACACACAAAATTATTTTGGAGTTGCGGACGCGGGAGCTGATGGTGTTGTGTGGGCAGGTGGGGCACAGATGTTGACGAAAGAATACGCCAAAAAAAATGTTTCGTGATGAATACCATGCGCCATCACTCACTCGCTCATCCTGGAACCATGTTCACCGAGAAAAAAATCCCGCTGTACAAAGTCCTGGGGTGTTCCGCGTGCGACCAGGATTTCGAGTATCTGCGGAAGAGGGACGTGTCACCCGTGGTCTACCTTGTCTGTGATGACACGCCCGACATGAAAGAGTTGGTGGAGACGACGAGGTGTTCGACCTTTCCCCAGATCTTCGTCGACTCGGTTTTCATTGGTGGTTTCAGCGATCTGAAGAGGACGGCCATCCACCGCCCCACAGAACTCAGGAGGAAGGAGATGGACGGCGAAATCGTCGAGCCAATGTGTGTCGAGGAGGAGGACTTCGACAGGTTCATTCTCTTTAACGGCAAGACCAAGCACGAATACGCCGACATTTTTCAACTGTACAAGAAGCAGACCGCTCTGTTCTGGGTCGTCGAGGAGATCGATCTGTCCGGAGACTCGAAAGACTGGGAAGATGCTTCGAGCGACGAGAAGCACTTTTTGAAACTTGTGTTGGCGTTTTTCGCGTCGCTCGACCAGATCGTCATGGAGAACATCGGTCTCAACTTTAAAAACGAGATCGTGATTCCGCAGATCAGACAGCATTTTGCAATCCAGGAGGCCACGGAAGCAGCCCACGGCGAGTCGTACTCTCTACTTATTATTCAGACTTACTTCAGGAACACTGAAGAGCAGAGACATGTCATGCGATCTATCCAGACGATGCCAATCATCGAGAAGGCGCTCTGGGCCGAGAAGTGGATGAACCCCGAAACCGCTTCACTCGCGAAGTGGCTGGTCGGCTTCACCTGCCTGGAGGGCGTTCAGTTCAGTGGTTCGTTCTGCGCCATCTACTGGCTGAAGAAGAGGCAGAAGTTCAAGGCTCTGTCGTTTGCAAACTCTCTCATCGCCAGAGACGAAGGCCTTCACGCCACAGCTTCCGTTTTCATCTACAAGCACCTCGAGAACAAGCTGCTACAAGAAAGAGTTCATGAAATTTTCAAGCACGCTGTCAGCGTTGAGTGCGAGTTCATCTCGTCGGCGCTTCCCGTTGCGCTCATCGGTATCAGCGAGAAGAGCATGAAAGAGTACATCAACTTTGTGGCGGACTACTGGCTGAACCAGCTGGGGTACGACAAGGTGTACGGCTGCGTCAACCCATTCGAGTGGATGGACATGATTTCTCTCCAGGGAAAGACCAACTTCTTTGAGAATAGGGTGACCGAGTACAGCAAGCCCAGCATTTTGCTCGACCGTGAGAAGCAGCAGTTTTGTACGGATGCGGGCTTTTGAAATGTAAAGGTATTGTTTTCCGGGTAGACATGGCAACGGCGAAGAAATAAGTGTTGACGTATTGATGTAAAGAAGATACACGGGTAAAAGTGAGATTTAACAAAAAAACACCACTTCGTGACATTGTGGAAAACCTGAAGACTCAGCAGACACAGCTCGTCCAGTCTTTCGAAGGAGACCAGGACACGTCTTGCCAGCGCATTTCCGATGCCCTTTCGGACCTAGAACTCTACGCGGCGAAACTGCAGACAATTGTCCGGAGACTCGACAACATCACGGAAACTCTCGTGCAGGAGAGCGATGCAAGGGTAAAGCCATGGTACGTTAGAATATTTTGCCCCTAAGTTCGTCGCAACGCTCTCAAAAATAATGTGTAGAGAGCCTACATTAGACAAGATGCCGGAGTTGTTTTTCAATGTCAGACAACCGGCCTTCCACCCCGGAAAGCAACCCCGGAGACCTTTGAACAGTACGACTCGTGCCGGGTGGTGTCCATAGCATGGGTCCTGCGCGACAAGAAAACTGTCTACGCCCAGAGGTATTCGGTGGCTGACCCCGGCATTGCGGACGAAAATATCGGAGCCGAGTTTGTACACGGAATATCGAGAGAAGTCATGGACAAGTATGGCAACGCAATCAACGTCGTTCTCTCTGACTTTATGGCGGACGTCAACAGGTCGGACAAGATTGTTGCGCATAATCTCGACTTCGACAGGAGTGTGGTTTCGGCCGAGTTGTTTAGGATGGGGTCGTCCGACGACGCTCGAAGACTGCTGAGCTTTAAAAGCTTGTGTACCATGAAGAGCACCACCAACCTCGTGCGAATCCCGAACTCGTGTGAATCGTACAAGTGGCTGAAGCTAGAGGAACTACATGAATTCCTGTTCGGCAATGCATTTGAGAACGCTCACCACGCCATGTGCGACGTCGACGCGATGGTGAAGTGCTACTTCACACTCTTGGAGAAGCACACCGCAAACAAAAAGAAAAAAACAAATCTAGGCGTTTGATGAACCCGATGAAATGGAAGCGTATGTGCTGTGGTTGGAACAATTTAGAAAGTTTAAATTCAAGTGGATTCATTCTGACGACAAAATCAACTGTTTCGTCGTCCACGCCATTCCTCCGGGTAACAAGTACACAACCAGAACACATTGCGATCTCGTCACGGCAATCGGGGCGCGCTGCCAAACGAAGACGCGGATCAATCACAGGGAAAAATCTGTTGTCGTCGAGGACGGGACGTCTGTGAAGCCGACGATTTGTTTCAACACGGAAAAATCTAGAACGAACGTAGACTTCGACCACGACTTCAGCGTGGCCGTGAAGAAGATGAAAACAAGCTCGACACCCATGGATGTCCTCGATTCGTTCGGCATCATATCCAACGAGCTTCATGATTTCACACGCGGCACATACTCCGGGTTGTGAGGGCAATGGAAAGCCTCGGCTTTGGGGTTCTACACAACGGGGGAATTGTGTGTTCCGAGAAGGACTCCACGGGAGAGTCGTCGGAAAGATTCTTATCCAAGCTGCCGCACCGAGATGATCCGGTGTGGTTTTTCGCGTGAACATCGCCTCTGGTGAACCCGTACAAAAATGAATACGGTAATTAGTTTAGTATAGTATTCGTTGCAGAGATCAATGTCAATCTCATGCGATTCCATTGTCATATCAAGGGTAACGAGCGCAACGTCAAACATTCAAATAGGGTATTTCACTTGGCCGAACACAACTTCGCTTCCCGGTTCAGTTCTCAAGACGGACGGACTCGGAAACCTGACATTCGAGGTTCCGAATGCGTACACCGCCGTCGACACCGCGTCGCCGGCGTACGCCATCGGTACCTCTGACGACATCGTTACCGTAGCGGGAACGCTGGACACGACGCTGACCCTCCCAGCCCCATCGTCGAAGGTAGCGGGAGATTTCGTGGTCGTGGTGAAGGAAGGTGGTGGTGACAACAACGTCACCGTCGTCCCGTTCGGAACCGAGCTGTTGTCGGGCGGTTCCTCCGTGGTGCTATCGCAACCATATGGCTCAATCAAGATTTACACAAACGGAACTGACTGGTTTGCGCTACTTTAAAGCGTGCACGGTCAAGTGTGCGTAAGGAGAGGATAATACCAAAGGCTCGGCCGGCGAAGGGAGTGTCGCTGTGACGGTGTTGATTGAGCGACAAAACCCGCCGCAGTCGGCCTGTCGGGGTTTCGACGAAATCAAAATATTTTATCTGATGCAGACGTACGTTAATTGGCCCAAAAACGAAAAATATATATTTTCCCATCAGTATCACTGTCGTCAACTTTAGCAGCAATTTCATTTTCTTGTTTTTTCTGTTTCTAGATGTCTGAAAAAAACGCATCTGTCAGAACAGGAAAATGTAGCTCAGTGGTTACACATCTGGACTCTTGTGTCAAAGGTCACGGGTTCGAATCCCGGTGTGTGTATATCATTGTGATAAAAAATCTGCTCTCCGAGCGTCACCTCAGAAAAAGACTTGAGACAAAGGCACAGCCTTCTCGATGATAGTTGTGAATGTTCTCGGGTGATTCGCTAAGAAAGTCAGACGGACGAGAACGAAGCAAACTCCCTCGCGGAGAGTTACATAACAACATATTCGCCTGATTGAGAGCGAAGTATCTGATTGAGAGCGAGAGCCAAAAAAATTGAAATTTCGGGTCCAGACGCCTCTTGCCATTTCTTGGCAAGTAGGGGACGGGCTATTCCAAGAAGCGGTGCAAATTGAAGGTCTCATCAGCAGCTTCGCGAGCATATGCGTGTCATCGTCATCGGATGCTGCAGCGAGGAGCTAGACAAGTTGCTAGATTTGCCCAGATTGGCTATTTCTGCTCAAACTGTTTCAGGGCGGTATCGCGTCGGGCGGTGGGCTCTGCTGTAGCTTCTGCTCCCCGCTGTAGCTCCACAACGAGAGACTCCCACAGGATGACCAGGGTAGCGGCTTGAAGCTACGGGCTAGCCCTTCAATTCAAGCTACACAGCAAGCTCCACCTCTCAGTGTTAGTCCGGCTACAGCGTATCGCGCAATCTCGCTCTCAATCAGATGCTACGCTCTCAATCAGGCGAATATGTTGTTACATGTGTCCAGACACAGTTAACGAATTTTCTACCTACCAACTGCTTAAGTTGACGGTGATGATTAGTGTACAGGGCTTCGACTTTTGCTCTCATTTTTCGTCGATGAGTGGAACTGTCACTTTTGGAAAAGTCCGTCTGATCAGCGAGAACAATTCTGGCCACCCTGGGAGTGTCGAACAAGAAATTAGGGTTGCGATGTCGAATCGCATGACGGCAGTCGAGCGGGAAGTTGCGTCGATATCAGCTCTCGTCGAGGCCGCGGAATAGACTTTGACCAACGTAACTCAGAGGCTGACGGAAGTCGAAAGCAACCAGTGTGCGGGTAACAGATAACACGAAACATTAGAAATTGTTACATTGTAGAAAACGCAAAACCATAGAAAATCCTAACTTTTAACACGATCGCGTGCTCGAGCTTAAAGCACCTCGACGAAAACGTGGTGCGACACCTGTCACTATTCCTGCACCAGGGCGACAAAATCGCCCTAGCGACATCGGCCGCTTGCTATATTCAAGCTTTGACATGCTTGTTGCCGACTGCAACAAAGTACGCCACCACCGTGACGCCCAATTTGATGTCGGCGTTCTCTTTTGAAAACGGCGTGTACTCTACGCCACCGGAGACCTTCCTGGTTAGCGCGTACGGCAACTTTTGCAACTTCTACCGGAGCCTGATCACGCACGTCGGCGCCAATGAAGACAGGGACTACTACGCGGCATGGCTAGAGCAACAACAGCTGAAGCTGGCGAAAGGGTCGGCGCGGAGCCGGAGACGTTCCATCGACCTTTACACCAGTGGTCGGCCGGCGAGAGACGAAACGTTTATCGTGGAACGACTCCTCGAGTCGGTCGACACTCGACTGAGTGACCATCACATTCTCGTGTACACGGACGACATCATGGACGCGATCGAGAGCAACACGTCGATTGTGGAGGTTTCGGCGTACAGCCAGACAAGCTCGTGTCGGTGCAGACTCTTCAACTGCTTCTCGAAAAGGTCTGTGTCCATTACATCGTTGGACCTGACTGGGCGGGCTTGTATCGATTCCACTCAAACCATCGCCGACTCCTGCGTGCACGACCTGAAGAGGTTGTCGCTTTCGACAGGATGTTCTGATCAGGAGATGGACGGGCTCACCATAGCCCTGGTGTGCGATGCGGTGGCCGAAGCCGGGGTACTCGAAGTTCTCGGGGTTGGCAACGTGGTCGGAGACTACGAAGAGTAGGCCGACGGCCTGATACGTGCGCTCGAGACGTGTCCCATTTCCTCCCTGCGCATCGACGGCACGATCTTCGACATACCTTGCGTGCCGGGAATGGTGCGCGTTTTGCCCGAGCTGCAAGCGACCGACGTCAAGCTCACGCAGTGTGACTTTGATAATTGGGGGAAACCCGTGTTCGATGCATTGTTTTCAAACGAGAACATACGGTGGCTCGGCGTCTCCTCCACCAAGATCGGCGATGGGAGCGTCGGCGCGCTGGTGGACATGGTGACGCGCGGAACGCTGACTCGGCTGGCTATTGGCAACTATGGCATGGGGAGAGGGGGCATCCGTCGCGTTTTGGAGGCGACGACGCACGCTGGCAGCAACGTGGTGTTCATCAGCATCTTCGACAACGACATTGACGTTCCATCCATCTTCGAGGGATTGGGCAAAACTTCGCTGACGGGAATGCACGTCGGCGAACTGAGTAACTGCAACACAGCGATCGCTAACTTCGTGGCCGACACGCAGTGTGACATTGACACCAGTGACGCCGACGACTGCTACAACGGCGGGGGTGGTGTGTTTCCCTGGCGCACGGAGTCACGCGTAGTTTATGTCACAGGAGGAGTATTTGGAGAGTTGATAATTAAATACTTTCTACGACACACTTCTTGTCATCGGAAACAAAACTACTCCCTTATTGATACTCTACGCCGCCAATGGAAATAGAGTCGGATGTGTCATTAAACACGACTTCAGCGGTGGAATTGTCGGAGAGCTGGAAGGCAAAACTCTGTCCAGCCCCGGACGAGGAGTCGAAGGGGACCAGCACGGAGTCATCATCTGTCGTCCATGGTGATTGCATGGTTGCAAAAAATATTTACAAAAAATATTGGATACCTTGTCACGTGCACATGTTGTCATATCCCTTGTGAAATCTCCATCGTATGTCCGTACTGATCCGCGATATGCATATCGCAATTCAAAATAACCAACCAACGCTCCTAAAATTGGTCGCGGTTGCCACTGGCATGCTGTCCCGTCTTCTCAGGAATCAAATACTGAACGCCGATGATATTTCCAACCACGATCGATCACGTCGTGCACCTCCCCCCTACTGTTTGCTGTATATATTGAATGAACTGCAGAAACATGAGCGACGGGTGTGGATATCTTCTCGATGACCTCCTCCGGTTGGATAGTGACTCCCTTGGCGTGCCCGAAGCCTTCAGCACGACTGCCGAAGACACCGCTATTCCTGGTCCTTCATTTGATGATGTGTTCAACATCAACAATTTGTCGGAATTTGAGGATGATGATGGCGGTGGTGCGATCCCGCGAGAGCCCTCGTCCCTCGCGGTCGCATGATCTGGTGCAGCGGCAGCACCCGGTGAGGTGACCGCACCCGGTGAGGTGACAGCTGCGGTGACAGTACCCGGTGCGGTATCAGCAGCCGATGAGGCGGCGGCTCGTGGTGGTCAAGGGGTCGCTGGAAAGCCTTCGTCGCTCCAGGAGACAGGATTGGGTGCTGCTGGCGGTGGTGCCGACGGTGACAACCGAACTTCATCTCCTTCTCCTCGTGGCTTCAGCGATGACGACACTGAAAAAGTCGTCGTTCACACCAGCGACGGAGACATGAGTGTTTCTGATGGCGGCTGGTGCTCCATCGTTGGTAGCAACGACGGGGAGGGGCCCGACACGTCCGAATCGAGTTACTCCCCATCATCTGATTCGAGCTCAACCCGCTCGGACGACTTGTCGGAGATGTCCGTTGTTTCTTGCAATGGACAAGATGACCAAGCCCCGAGCATGGACAAACCTGTTGTGATGATGTTGGCTACGCCAGACCCAAATGATGCTGAGGGCGATTTTATATGTAGTAAAGTCAGGCAAAGGTATGAGAAGGCAGGCCACGCGCCTGATAAAAGTGAAGTATTCGAGGTCGTTTTCAAGGACGGATCTAAGACGGAGTATGGTCGCGAAGGAGTCTTGCTGTATAAGCAAACCTACGATGAGAAT